GGGTTTAGGGTTTAGGGTATTGATATTCGCTGGCAGCCCCGATATAACATCACCGTACCCAAGTCTACCCCACAGCCCTATGCTACAAGTACTTATTCAGGCACCAATGTTGTCGAATCTCTGCAACCCGAAACCCTTCACTCTAAACCCTCAACCCTAAATCACCTAAGCCCTAAACCCTAAACCCCAAATCCCCTAAACCCAATGCCCTAAACCCTAAACCCTAAACCCCAAGCCCTGAAATCCCTTAAACCCTAAGCCCTAAGCCCTAAACCCCAAACCTTCATCCGACCAGAGAGCAGACCCTGACCAGGCCCGTCTCCTCCGGATGATGTGCGGCGACACCTGTGGCTGCACCCAGGCGTTGAGCCAACCCTTTCACAAGGCTTGCAGGGCAGGGTTTGGAGGCTCAGGGTTTCGGGGCTTCAGGGTTCAAGGTTTATAATTTAGGGTGCTTAGCACCCTTTAGAGGGATGAAGAAATGCATGTACATCATATTCAGTAAATGTTCATCGATTGTTCATATAGCTCACTCCAGGACTACTTGATTCCCTAAACCCTAAACCCTAAACCCTAAACCCTAAACCCTAAACCCTAAACCCTAAACCCTAAAACTAAACCCTAAACCCTGAACTGTCGTTTTTTTGTAACAGCGGGGTGTTAAGGCCCGGCCTACAGCTGCCCTTTTTTTTACTGTCGACCCCGTTATGGAACCCTTCCGGAGCCCCGTGAAGGATCCCTTAAAGGAAGCCTCAAATTAGGAACCCGAAAAGGACATAAGCATAAGCATTTTATCGTGACATCCCTGTCCTAATTTTTGCTTATGTGCTTTTTTGGGGGGCCAATCAAAGGAACCCTGCTACATCCCTTACAGGATCCCTGAAAGGGAACCGTTATGGCCTTATGGAACCCCTCAGGAGCTAAACCCTAAACCCTATACCCTAAACCCCAAAAACCGTAAAGGAGCCCTGCTACATCCCTCACAGGATCCCTGAGAGACCCCAAAAGTGCCGAAGCAGAAATTTCAGAGGTGATCCGGGGAGGATGCACCGAGTCCTGCCTACGCCTGGCCGAGACAGAAGCACCCAGGCTAATATAGGGGCCTTAA